CCCTGGGTAACAGCTATCGAGAAAATGGGGACTTCCTAGTCCAATGACCCTTGTATTCTGGGACTTGGAACACTTAACAACACTTCATTTCTGTGCTCTCTCACTCTATTTTCTCTTAACGTTCCTAGTCATTCCTTATGAACCTCCAGAGTGGGTTTGTTTTCCTCCTTTAGCCTTTCAGATATTGGTGCTTCTTGGCTCTCTTTCAGCTATTTTCCCTTTTAATTCAAATTCTCTTCCTAGGTAATGATATCATGCCTAAAGATCTCGGTTTTTACACATACACACACACACCCACACCCACACACCCACACACACACATATACACACACACACACACACTGTTAGTTCTCAAATCTGCATTCTAGCTCAGGTCTCCCTCATCAAGAATAGCCCTTTATATCTAGCTGTTAATGAGATCTCTCCACTGAGTATCCTACAATCTCCCTCCTTGCCAAACTTGCTCTCCACCAGCCCTCCTTATCTCCAAGAAGGTAAATGGTCATATACTTTTATTTGATAAATAGTTTGTTTTCCCTACGAGGCACATTCTAGGAAAACTTCCCTTTAATACTCTTCCACTTTTTGTATCCTTCCCCATATTTTTCTTCCTTAACAATTCTATTTCTGAAATATAGGCAATATAACTGCCTTTAATTGTCACCATTCAATAACTTCTTAATAGAGCTAACTACTTAGGCCTTTACCAAAACTGCCCCTCCGTAACACTAATGATATTGTCTATTATTTAATTTTTCTCCTTTTACTAGTATGGTTATGAATTTGCACTAATTTGATTTACCTTATACCCATTCTGTCTGCTCAGTCTCTGTTTACAGTAATACTCACTAGATATTCCATTGTCACCTAAATAATGGTATTTTCCAAGTTACTTGAATAAAAAGTAAGAGGGGGACAAGAAAAGTGAAAGAAAGAGTAAGACAGGGAGACAGAGACAGAGGACAGATTCTTTTAGGAACCATTAACCATCTAGGGTTCAATAAGTCAACCTATTCTGCTAACACCCTCTCCTAGCTTCCAGATTTGTTTCTCAAATAGTTCTGTACAAGGAAATGAAAAAGTTAGAACTGAGAAATACTGAGCATTTTTTTGTGTGCTCTCAGAAAAGCTTATTCTTACTCCTTAGATCCCTTGTTTTTCTTCTCAATCACCAAGGAATAAAATTGGAATTGTTTTTTAATTCCCTTTCATCAGCAACATCCAATAAAATGTTGTTATATAAAACTCTCCTGCTGAGCAGCTTCTCACCTCAGCTCCACACTTTCTTTCCTTTGCTCTTGTGATAACATTGCTAAAAATCCTCCTAATCTCTCACAAAGATGCTTGTAATAGTCCCTTTTAATTTCTCTCTGCCTTTCTTCTCTGTCTGCTTGAATCAATCCTAAATATTACTAAATGTCATGTCAATCAAACACTGCCTAAACTCCTTCTAGTCTCTGTTTTTAAAAATAACTACAGAATGCTACTGTCCACAATAAATCCTCCACCAATCTGCCCCAGCTTTATCTCCTGATGTTCCCCTACTCAACTAATATTCTGCAGAACAACCTCATATGTCCCTGTCTCTGAGGTTTTTAATCAATGTATTTTCCTTGTCTGTAAGAATTTTCAATTTCTCATTCACTTATAGAAAATTTTACCAAGGTTTCAAATGAAGTTTTGGAAATAAACTTCTCACTGCTTTTATTATTACCACATGTTATATGACATACATGGAATACTTTTCAAAGTAGGTTTTCAATCATATTTGATACTTAAATAATTATAGGAAGAAATATTCAGTATCACATATATGAAGGTGAATGATAACGGAGTTCGACTTCTGTTAATGACAGTGCATTTATATTGGACTAACTCCTCAACAGATAATGATGATAAACTAAGGAAAAAACATTAAATAACACATATTTTAAGGTGCTGGAGGTAGGATAAGAGCAAAGACTGGAGAGTTTTTCACTCAAGCAAACCCCCACAATTCATGTAGCAAGGAATGGCTAGAACTCAAGCAGAAAGGTAGAGACTTAGTGGCTTGGAAAGTTATAGAACAGAGACTTAAAATACCAAGTCAGCTGAAAAGCAAGAGGACATTTCCAGAACCTGAAGGAGGCACGCTGAAGTCTATGATTAGATTCTCTCCCAAATCCTTGGCTGACATCTGAACTACATACATGTGCAGGCAGGCCATAAAGAGCAGTGGCTGGACAGCTGGAAGAGTTTTTTGGTTGTTACCCATCACAAGAGATTTTTGAATTTGAGTCCAGCCAGGCAAACTGCCACTAGAATAAAAATCAGCTTTCTTCAAAAAAGTAACAGAACCTAGAATCTTGAAAACATACATATAGATGAATTTTCAACAATGTAGGGGTCAAGGGTACCAAAACCCCTAACCCCTGTGCAGTTGAAAATCTGTGTATAATTTTGACTCCCCAATAACTTAACTACTAAGCACCTGTTAAACAGAAGCCTTACTGATAACATAAACTGTTGATTAACACATATTTGTATTTTATATGTATTATATACTTTATTCTTTCAATAAAGTAAGTCAGAGAAAAGAAAATGTTTTTCAAGTTGTCACAAATCTCCACAAGTTTTTCCAATGTATTTATTCAAAAAAATCTATAAGGGGACCTATGCAGTGCAAAACCATGTTGTTCAAGGGTCAACTGTATTTAAAATGTCCAGTATGCAATAAAAATCGGTAGACATGGAAAAAAAACAAGAAAATATTCACAGTCAAGAGAAAAAGCTATCAATGGAAACTTACCTTAAATTGACACAGGTGTCAGAATTAGCACACAAGATTTTACAAAACAGTTGTTAAACATATGTTCAAGGGCTTAAAGGAAAATATAGTTATAATGAATACAAATATGGGGGAACACTCAGTGTAGAAATGGAAAACATACAAAATGAAAAGTTCTACAACTGAAAAGTACAATGTCTGTATGGACCATTAATAGGGTGGACTTAACAGCAGGTTGGAGATGTCAGAAGAAAAGGTTAATGAATTTAAAAATAAATTAATAGATTTTATCCAATTTGAAAACAGAAGAAAAAATAGACTGAATAAAAATAAACAGAATCTCAGTGATCTATAGGAGAATGACCAAAAGTAATGTATCAAATGTGTGTGTGTGTGTGTGTGCGCGCGTGCATGTGTATATATATATATATATGAATCTCTGAAGAAGACTGAGGGAATGAAGCAGAAATATTATTCGCAATCATAATGGCCCCAAATTTCCAAATTAGGTGCAAAAAATAAATTTATGTATCCAAGAATCTTTGATACAATCTCGGATTTACATCCGAGAAATGTAAATCCCAAGCTTCCCACCCATCACACCTAGACACACGTGGACACATAGGTCCACTGTAGAAAAATTGCTGAAAACCAGAGAAAGAGAAAATTTAAAAAGACAAAGGAATTACAAATAACATAATATCAATATTAATGAAGCCTGATTTTACATCAGAAAGAGATTAGAAGACAATAAAGCATGTTTGAGATACCGAAAGAAAAACTGCTAACCCAGAATTCTCTATCCAGGGAAATATCCTTCAAAAATACAAGGGCGTTTTCAGATAAAAAAAAAACAGCAGATTTGTTGCCAGCAGATCTGCACCACAAGGTGTATATATTCTGACTTTGTATATATGTATATGTGTGTGTTCATATATGAATATAATATATGTATATACATATATATACTCTATATATTTGCATATATGTTAGTGTTCTGACTTTGCACTGGACTGATTTGTCTTCGACTCTCTAAACTTCTCCCATTATATCATCTGTATTATTTCTTTTAAAATAATTCAGTAATACACTGTAATGTATTTGTGTATGCTACTTATTAGCTTTAATCTACAACTAGAGGTGATTAGTTAACATTTAAAATATGCTCATCAAAAATCCTGCCTATAATGACACTTAACAGCTGAAGTACCTTAATCAGGGACACTCTCAAGAGGCACTTGAGTAAGCACTTCAGATACCGCTAATTAGATGTACACCCGAGTGTTAACTAAGAAATATCAGAAATGATTTTTCACTAGTGAAATGAATGTTGTTCTTTGGATGTGGTGGCTGAAAATATTTTATAGTCACTACTGCCCTTTCATAAATGGAATGTAAGAATCAAAAGAGTCTTAACTACAGAATATGTAAAGCCCTGTTTTATCTGTGTCCCATCTTAATGTAGGAGTCTTCCTTCTGACCTGAAAGAGGTAACAGATCCTGACATCAGAATATTGTGTAACATGCTTCCAAGTTAAACTGTGATAGAAGGTGCTTGAAAATGTGCCTAAAATAAATGAAAGTTAAGAGTTTACCCAGCTTTTTGGAAAAGATTATGTGACTGATCTTTGAACCTGCTTGTTAGTAAATATTATAATATGTGTGGCAGAATTCGGTTGAAACTTGTGTTCATTATACTATAGCACCTCATGGTGGGGTCTTGTGGGGAAGAGGTGTATAGCCCTTGTCCACTAACATTTAGCTTAAAGCAGTTGGTCATCCCCCCACACCCAATTCTACCTCCCTTACTTCACCTGATTGAAAACTGGAGTAATTAAAAAGATTTTGCTTGTCCTTTGGAAAACACTGTATGTGGTAATTTATTCATATTCATTATTATTTATGTTCATATATATTCTAGTTTGGTGGTTACACTGATAAAAGTTTATATGAGAATACAACAAAGAACATAATTGGATGTCAAATACTGTTAACTGGACAAATTAAGTCAATGAATTGTTCAGTGAATGAATACATGAAGAATGGACTGATACACAGACTTTATGGCTGACAAGGATTTTGAAGGCTCAGAGATCGTTTCTCAGATTCAGGTAACGTGAATCAGTACATCACAAACACCTTTCCCTTTCACCAGAGGAAATGACACCATTTTTCTTTTAAAACAAAGACCCTTTAAGCATTACTTTCATTGATACGAGTGAAATTTTCTCACCTCCAAATGGTAACCAACTCTGATAAAAGCACAAAGTGGGTCAAAAGCTCCAGTACCACAGGTCAGAAGGTGTGTCCTGTTATAGTGATGCAAAACACGAACGTAATTTGCACATTCACTCTAAACAAGAAGAAAAAGAAAAGAAATTGGTTTATATAATTAAAGTGTTTAGCCCTTTTTGATTTTTGTTTTTCCTAACCTTAGAAATCTTATGTTTAAGTCTCCCCTGGCAAGGAGACAAGGTGGCAGATGCAAAGAGGGCAAGGACCAGTGGCAGAAGAGACCGGGGTGGTAGATGCACCATTTAGCTGGCTGCAATGTACGCATTACCTTTTATATGGGAATTGCATCATTTTACCTGTCTTCCAGTACACAACTGAGGAATTTAAAAAGCCCTACTCAGAAATTCATTCAAATGTAACGATTTGCATGGCATTATGTTCCGCTAAGTAATTACGTTATTCCCAAGGCTGTTATTTTTAAAAAGTACATATAAACAATGCATCAGCATAAAGTCAGAAAACCAATAATTACAAAAAGGTTCATTACCCTTAATGAAACATATGCAGACTTTAGGGCATTACAGAGCTTTGATGTTTGGGAAAATAAGTCTTACATGTTCAAACATAAATTCACATAAAGCACTTCCACAGAGAGTTTTCAAGACGGAAAGATAACCAATAAAGGTTACATTTTATACCTTTTACTGGACAATTGCAGTCCAAGGGTCAGGAAACTTTTTACAGAAAGGACCAGAGAGTAGATATATTTAGTTTGATGTGCTATCTGGTCTCTGCTGCAATTATTTACCTATGCAGCTATAGCATGAAAGCCACCGTAGACATAGCAGAAATGAATGTGAATGACCATGTTCCAATTAAACTATTTTTACAAAAATACACAACAGGCTACCTCTGGCCAAGGAGCTCTGGTTTGCCTACATTGAGATTCAGCTATAAACTTTTAAGGACATAGTCTTTATTTTACACACCTTTGTATTATCCAATTCATCGAACACAGTACCTAATACATACTACATGCTTCACAAATTTTAATTCACCAATCTCTAGGTGAGTTTTAAGAGCATTATGCCAAACTAAAAAAAAAAAAAGGAATTTAAAACTTCTCAGACCAGTGTGGCTAAATTAATTCTGGCAAACACCTTCTTGGCAAATTTGGTGTTATTATTCCTTTTAAAATAAAAAACAAAACACTAACCTCTTTTAATGCTAAATATCACTTTGATATCAACACATGCAACCATCGACAGTGAAATGTTTTATAAGGACAGATTGTGACTTTTAAAAGTCTCTGGTATAACAGTTATTAAGGTGAAAAAGGCAGCAGAACATTACCACTGTAAGAGCTTAAGATTATAGTATTTCCTTGGTAAGAATGAGGAATGCACTCCTAAACTGATTCACTAGGGCACACAGATATATTTACTCCTTCAATTTCCCACTCAGGAAGCATTTTACTCTGTGGGTGACCCATGCAGTTGGAAAACTCTAACCACTTAGACATGGGGAAAATATTCTATTCTCATATTGCTACAGGCACCTGCTTTTTTTCTCTTGAAACATTGTCACATCTTGAATGAGCCAATTATATGAAATTTTGGCTCAGCTGGGCTTAGAGTGACATAACCTAGGAGCGTGTTCAGTTAGTCAGCATCACGTGGTGGACTAAGGCAGCAGGAATGCCTGGACTCATTCTTTGGCAGTGACCCAGCAGCTACAGAGAATCAGGAGGTGGTACAATGTGCATTAGTTTTTTACACCATATTGGTTTTTCTTACTGAAAACAAGCATGTTAACTTTCCAAGGGAGACATGCATGGCCTCCTGCAAACACATGCACTGAGCTGCCAACCAGCTGCTTGGGGCCAGTGTGAGTCCTCTCACTCCTGGTGCAGCTCTGCTGCCACCCAGGCTGGGCTCATTCACACCCGGCAGGGCTGTTATGGAGAAATGGAGGACAGGTTGTTCCAGGAGGGGGACCCTGACAGAGCTGGGGGGCAGGTAGTGTGTGTTTATTGCCTTTGCCTTCTTTACAACTTCTTGTTTTTTTCTCCTTTTGTTTCTACTTTATTAATCAAAGTGACATGGAATCTCACAAAGATGTGCTTAGCTTTTCCTTGAAATGAAAAAAAAAAAGATTACCTGAAAATGTTTTTCTCCCAAGCCCATAGGAAATATGCATTAGTAGAAGGAATTTATAAATCTGAGTTGATTAAAATACAAGAAAATAAAAAACCAAGATTTGGATGGCAGTTCAGCTCCCTTGAACTTTACACTGAAATTAGTTATATAATAATTACATATATAAAGTATGTGTACATACATACTATACATATATATATGTGTGTGTATATATATTCTTCCTGAGATAAGTTGCATATATGCTTTTAGGAGCACATAAGAAGTTGGAGATCTAGTTATTTGTGATTGACCGGGAATATAACTGGCGATTTGTTTCACTTACAATGAATAATACTTACTGCATCTTTTCCTTTCATTATGCATTCTTCTATTTTTAGTGCTGTACTAGGCCAGTGTATCTGAAATAGAAGATATTGTACTATTACACAACTGTATACAAAAAAAAACCACAGTGAAAAACGTTTCATTTTTTTCTGTAGTTCAATACATTTTCATTTTGTTGTTTTCTGAGAAGACAAAGCAAGACTTTACCTTCTTTACATCATTATTTGCATAATTAAGACTCTTGTGTGTGAACTTTTACTTCATGCTAAACTTAATTTTTTTAACCTTTCTGAGGATTTCCTCAAGTCTCAGCCCTTCAGACTCCACCCACAGTTCAACCAGCCCTGCTCTGTACTTAACCTGCCATGACCTCTGCTATCCAGTCTTTCTTTCGAAACTGATTGCCCCTCCGAGTCAGGAATTTCCTTAAGTTCTCTTTGCATTTTTATCACTTAGAACAGAACTTAGTGTGTGGTGGACTCAGTAGTGTTTGCAGTATGAAAGGATTAAAGGATGAATGACTCTTTGGGTGATGGACACTCAGATTGCCTCCATAATCTCTACCAGACCAAACGTTGATATGTCTTTGTGTATGTCCCTTTGTGACATGTAAAAGAAAACCATTGGTACGTACAACCAGGAGCAGAATCACTGGGCCTTACGGTATGATTTATTTAATCTGCTAATGTAGTGCCATGTGCCCTCCAGAGGGTGACATGTTTACACTCCATCAGCAGTACTATATCCTCACTGACACTTGGCATTATCAACTTCCTAAATTTTATACTAAGCACTTTAGATTCAGTATTTAATTTAATCATTACCATGACTTTATCAAAGACAAAGTATTATCTAGGAAGCTTTTAAAAAAATATACATGTTTCTCTGTCCAGCCCCACAGTGCAGTAGATCTGTGGGTGGGAACCAAAAAATCTGATGCATTTGAGTTATCATAGCAAATGGTAAGTTCTCAAGGGTTTTCTGAGCCTCAGGACCTTAAACCTCCTCCTAGATAACAGTTCACCCTGACATCTACTGGACCAATCACCTTCCCCTCTAGCCTGGAAAAGCTCACTGGCCCCCTCTCTCACGTCTCTCTCAGATTCCGTGGGGCACCTTCTCATGCTGAAGTATCAGCTTCATCAGCTGTGCTGGTCGGGTGACAGAACACCCTACAGTTTTTCTTCACTGCCTCCAAAGGCTTCCCCTTGGATCCACGTGTACTCGCGGAAAGCACTCTGAAGATGTCCACTCTTACTCTCCTACTTCTGTGGCCACTTTGAGCCAGGATACTTCAGTATTTCTTTGGTTCTCTTCTTTTTTTAGGCAATCCCGTTCTATTCTTAAGTTAACTTTTGGTGAAGGACTAGCAGTTTTTCAGAAGAATAGCCTGGGCCTCTCAAGGTAAAATTAATGTTCCTGCAAGAGCCTTTTCTTCCCCAGGACACTTGGGTCCTCAGGGCCTAGACTGAGAAGGGCTCAGGTGTAAGTTCCTACCACCCAGGCTCATTGTTTGCTGTCACTGGGCCTGTGCCCACAAGCCCTGCTCTCTTCCTCTGTGGCAACTGGTTTGTTCCTGTCAAGTTCCCACTATCCCTCCCTGATATTACTGCTCTCCCAATCCATCATCATCCCATTCTGTGCTCTGTTAGCCTAGAAAAACATTCTAGTTATCAAACTAAATATTAGATGCTGCTGATTGGAAGTAATTTTTATTCAGTGAGTGCACTGCTTAATTATTTTTATATCAATGACCAACATGCAAAAATGAGAAATTTTGCATAAATATCCAGATTTTTCTAGAAAAATCCAGTGGTAAGCAACAGGCTTGCGTCGCTGTGTGGCAACATTGCTCTGGAGTTGAAAGTTTGAAGTCTTCTTTAAATAGGACAAGTGTTCTCTGATTTGCTTCAGACTTCGGTTTTTAACCTGACAGGCCCCTGTAGGCATTTTGGTGTCTATAATCTGATATGTATGTTTGAATCTCAGATATGGTTAAGTGCAAGTTTGCTGTTGTTTTTTTAAAGCTGTGCCTCATAAAATAGCAGGTTAGGCACTTACATGCTAAAAGTGAAAGAGACTTTCACTGAACTCACACATTATGCAGCCAAGCCCACTCCTGGTACATGAACAATACTGGGGGTTTATAAAAGTGATGACAATAGCCTTTATTATGATGATAATCTGTATATGATTAAATTTATTATCATAGGAGGAAACACTCTATGGTTTGAATTACAGGTATTAAAATATTACTCTGGTGTTCTTATTGGCATAATAGGCCACGAAGTTTTTTACTAGCAATACTCAGCATCAGGTGCTCTTTAGTCTCATACTAAAGTATACAAACTTTTACATGAAAATACATGAGTATTTTCTGTTTATGTTGTGACAGAAAAAAAAGACAAAGGAAAAAATTCGGCATATAAGAGAAAACCAACCAAAAAGCCAAATGCACACACATAAAATCCTAGAATCGCTGTTCCTGATTGCAGCAATAAATCCATCAGTGGATCTTGTATGATTCAGGAAAGACATCATAAATACGTCAATGTATGGTTCGGTTGCAGCTTCGCGTCTGCTTGAGCAGAATCACTAATATCATTACAAGTTAAGGATCCTGGAAGCGAAGCTATAGAATTTATAAACTTTGCTGATCAATTATTCTGGAAAAAATTCTTACATCCTAGGGACAGATTGTCTCAGATGATATCTAAGACCCATTCTAACATGAGATTCAGTTTGGTTTTGAATTATGATTTTACTGTGGATGCATAAATTATTCAAAATGATATGTTAGAACATGTGCCTATATACGTACATGGGCCATATGTATACACATTATATATATATTGTATACACTGTATATACTATATATATTAACAAAAAATATAAATAGAAATTCATTTTAGGGTCATCTATCATTAGAAAGATTTTCATGACTAATTCAGTTATCAATATGAACAGAGTGAACACCTCTTCTGTAATTCACAATAGTGCTTTATATTCTTAACTCACATAATTTATGAGATGTAAGGCTCTCCTTAGAATATTAGTATCCCTTTTCATCCATTCATTCACAAATGAATCTCTTATTCATTTTTCTTCATTATGTAAAATGATGACTATTTTAAACTGTTTTTCCACAATTTCAAAGTACTAGATACCAATTCTTTAGAAAAATATACCAAGTTCAGCTTTTCAATGCTGAAATAATATCCAGGCCAGTAAAATAACCTCAACATCTTAGCCTGTATTCCTCTAAATCGTTGTTTTATAATGATTGTTTCCAGGACTATCTGAATACACTGTTTGGGGGGCAATTCTTTGTAGGATTTCTACACATCTATTGACAGTTTTTGTTACACATAATATTTTCAAATAGCCCTGAAAGACAGATAGAATCTCCTTTGAGAGCAAATGAAAGACTAGTTTCCTGTGTTGGATAATAAAAATAATGCCTCCCTCTAGGCAAAGACTAGGTAGGATTACAAACACAGCCCTTATAAGACTGGGGATTCCTAAGTTTGGGGATCATCAGGTATAACACATATTTACTACAAGAGCAGCGTCTGCCTGGGCTGCTATGCATCACTCCCTGTGGGACCTGAGGGGGCAAAACAATCGCTGGAAACACTACCATGCAGTATGCTCTGCTGCGAGTAATAGGTTCCTTTGTCTCTGGCCCAGGAGTCTCATGTCTTCTGCCAGCATCTATGAAACTGTGACAAGCTAACTTGTCTTGAAAATAAGGTAAAACCTCAGACCCTTCACAGACCTGATATCAAGAGAATATGTAATGGTGAAGAAATAAATGGCTTTCCTAGGGTTGTCAGAATATGCACTGTTTCTAGCAGCAAACCTAATAATGTCAATTTTTCTAGGAATGACAAAATCATTTTTTCAGGCACATCTTACAACATGTTTTACAACAAAACCTTTCCTGATATCTTTTTCAATAAGTAGTATCTCTCCTTCCTTTGATCTTCTATTATATTCTTACTTGCTCTACATAGGAGTATAGCGGTTTGTATACTTAACTTTAGCTCTCTTATTAGACTATAAGTTACAGAGAGCAATGATTTATTTCTGTATCCCTACCAATGCACAATCCTTCCCTGGCACAATGCCTTAAATGTAATCACTGTTTATTCAATATCTATTGATTGACTTGTATTAATCAACACACCTTTATCACATTCTTTGTAAAGACAATCCACTAAAGGATTTTTACAGTAAAATCTGAGAGGTGAGTTTCATTGACATGAAAATGCTGTAACCAGTGTCAAAGGAATGAGACAGAGAACAATTTTCAGTGTCATCATGAAGAAAATCCTGTAGGATGCTAGCAATAATCTAGGCATTGAAAGACTGGTAGGATTTCTGAAGACAGAGAAAGGATCTTAACCAAATTCCTTTGGGTGGATGGAAAGAGGAGAAGCAGAGGACTAAATTATGGATATTCATCACTATAAAGTCCATCACGTGGAGTTCTCCAAAGGAATTATGTAATTACAGATTTACTCAAGTTTTGTTTTCGCTTTTGGTTTTGTTTTGGTTTGTTTGGCTTGTTTTTTCCACAAAATTTAAAGGCTCAAGACTGCATTCAAATGTTCACTCACATGAGAAAAAGATGACAGAGAAAGACCTTACTGAAAGTGAGGGGTTATTTGAAAGCCATCATGTACAAATATTCTTCCAACATAGCAAGGGAAATTATTTTTTTCATTTGTTTTGGCAGTCAGGACATCTTTTGGTTCTGCTCCAGAGTTTAGCATCAACAAAAAAACCATAAAATTAAGCCATTCATTCTCACAAAACATTTTTAAAAGCATCCTGGTGCAGCTCTGCTGCCACCCAGGCTGGGCTCATTCACACCCGGCAGGGCTGTTATGGAGAAATGGAGGACAGGTTGTTCCAGGAGGGGGACCCTGACAGAGCTGGGGGGCAGGTAGTGTGTGTTTATTGCCTTTGCCTTCTTTACAACTTCTTGTTTTTTTCTCCTTTTGTTTCTACTTTATTAATCAAAGTGACATGGAATCTCACAAAGATGTGCTTAGCTTTTCCTTGAAATGAAAAAAAAAAAGATTACCTGAAAATGTTTTTCTCCCAAGCCCATAGGAAATATGCATTAGTAGAAGGAATTTATAAATCTGAGTTGATTAAAATACAAGAAAATAAAAAACCAAGATTTGGATGGCAGTTCAGCTCCCTTGAACTTTACACTGAAATTAGTTATATAATAATTACATATATAAAGTATGTGTACATACATACTATACATATATATATGTGTGTGTATATATATTCTTCCTGAGATAAGTTGCATATATGCTTTTAGGAGCACATAAGAAGTTGGAGATCTAGTTATTTGTGATTGACCGGGAATATAACTGGCGATTTGTTTCACTTACAATGAATAATACTTACTGCATCTTTTCCTTTCATTATGCATTCTTCTATTTTTAGTGCTGTACTAGGCCAGTGTATCTGAAATAGAAGATATTGTACTATTACACAACTGTATACAAAAAAAAACCACAGTGAAAAACGTTTCATTTTTTTCTGTAGTTCAATACATTTTCATTTTGTTGTTTTCTGAGAAGACAAAGCAAGACTTTACCTTCTTTACATCATTATTTGCATAATTAAGACTCTTGTGTGTGAACTTTTACTTCATGCTAAACTTAATTTTTTTAACCTTTCTGAGGATTTCCTCAAGTCTCAGCCCTTCAGACTCCACCCACAGTTCAACCAGCCCTGCTCTGTACTTAACCTGCCATGACCTCTGCTATCCAGTCTTTCTTTCGAAACTGATTGCCCCTCCGAGTCAGGAATTTCCTTAAGTTCTCTTTGCATTTTTATCACTTAGAACAGAACTTAGTGTGTGGTGGACTCAGTAGTGTTTGCAGTATGAAAGGATTAAAGGATGAATGACTCTTTGGGTGATGGACACTCAGATTGCCTCCATAATCTCTACCAGACCAAACGTTGATATGTCTTTGTGTATGTCCCTTTGTGACATGTAAAAGAAAACCATTGGTACGTACAACCAGGAGCAGAATCACTGGGCCTTACGGTATGATTTATTTAATCTGCTAATGTAGTGCCATGTGCCCTCCAGAGGGTGACATGTTTACACTCCATCAGCAGTACTATATCCTCACTGACACTTGGCATTATCAACTTCCTAAATTTTATACTAAGCACTTTAGATTCAGTATTTAATTTAATCATTACCATGACTTTATCAAAGACAAAGTATTATCTAGGAAGCTTTTAAAAAAATATACATGTTTCTCTGTCCAGCCCCACAGTGCAGTAGATCTGTGGGTGGGAACCAAAAAATCTGATGCATTTGAGTTATCATAGCAAATGGTAAGTTCTCAAGGGTTTTCTGAGCCTCAGGACCTTAAACCTCCTCCTAGATAACAGTTCACCCTGACATCTACTGGACCAATCACCTTCCCCTCTAGCCTGGAAAAGCTCACTGGCCCCCTCTCTCACGTCTCTCTCAGATTCCGTGGGGCACCTTCTCATGCTGAAGTATCAGCTTCATCAGCTGTGCTGGTCGGGTGACAGAACACCCTACAGTTTTTCTTCACTGCCTCCAAAGGCTTCCCCTTGGATCCACGTGTACTCGCGGAAAGCACTCTGAAGATGTCCACTCTTACTCTCCTACTTCTGTGGCCACTTTGAGCCAGGATACTTCAGTATTTCTTTGGTTCTCTTCTTTTTTTAGGCAATCCCGTTCTATTCTTAAGTTAACTTTTGGTGAAGGACTAGCAGTTTTTCAGAAGAATAGCCTGGGCCTCTCAAGGTAAAATTAATGTTCCTGCAAGAGCCTTTTCTTCCCCAGGACACTTGGGTCCTCAGGGCCTAGACTGAGAAGGGCTCAGGTGTAAGTTCCTACCACCCAGGCTCATTGTTTGCTGTCACTGGGCCTGTGCCCACAAGCCCTGCTCTCTTCCTCTGTGGCAACTGGTTTGTTCCTGTCAAGTTCCCACTATCCCTCCCTGATATTACTGCTCTCCCAATCCATCATCATCCCATTCTGTGCTCTGTTAGCCTAGAAAAACATTCTAGTTATCAAACTAAATATTAGATGCTGCTGATTGGAAGTAATTTTTATTCAGTGAGTGCACTGCTTAATTATTTTTATATCAATGACCAACATGCAAAAATGAGAAATTTTGCATAAATATCCAGATTTTTCTAGAAAAATCCAGTGGTAAGCAACAGGCTTGCGTCGCTGTGTGGCAACATTGCTCTGGAGTTGAAAGTTTGAAGTCTTCTTTAAATAGGACAAGTGTTCTCTGATTTGCTTCAGACTTCGGTTTTTAACCTGACAGGCCCCTGTAGGCATTTTGGTGTCTATAATCTGATATGTATGTTTGAATCTCAGATATGGTTAAGTGCAAGTTTGCTGTTGTTTTTTTAAAGCTGTGCCTCATAAAATAGCAGGTTAGGCACTTACATGCTAAAAGTGAAAGAGACTTTCACTGAACTCACACATTATGCAGCCAAGCCCACTCCTGGTACATGAACAATACTGGGGGTTTATAAAAGTGATGACAATAGCCTTTATTATGATGATAATCTGTATATGATTAAATTTATTATCATAGGAGGAAACACTCTATGGTTTGAATTACAGGTATTAAAATATTACTCTGGTGTTCTTATTGGCATAATAGGCCACGAAGTTTTTTACTAGCAATACTCAGCATCAGGTGCTCTTTAGTCTCATACTAAAGTATACAAACTTTTACATGAAAATACATGAGTATTTTCTGTTTATGTTGTGACAGAAAAAAAAGACAAAGGAAAAAATTCGGCATATAAGAGAAAACCAACCAAAAAGCCAAATGCACACACATAAAATCCTAGAATCGCTGTTCCTGATTGCAGCAATAAATCCATCAGTGGATCTTGTATGATTCAGGAAAGACATCATAAATACGTCAATGTATGGTTCGGTTGCAGCTTCGCGTCTGCTTGAGCAGAATCACTAATATCATTACAAGTTAAGGATCCTGGAAGCGAAGCTATAGAATTTATAAACTTTGCTGATCAATTATTCTGGAAAAAATTCTTACATCCTAGGGACAGATTGTCTCAGATGATATCTAAGACCCATTCTAACATGAGATTCAGTTTGGTTTTGAATTATGATTTTACTGTGGATGCATAAATTATTCAAAATGATATGTTAGAACATGTGCCTATATACGTACATGGGCCATATGTATACACATTATATATATATTGTATACACTGTATATACTATATATATTAACAAAAAATATAAATAGAAATTCATTTTAGGGTCATCTATCATTAGAAAGATTTTCATGACTAATTCAGTTATCAATATGAACAGAGTGAACACCTCTTCTGTAATTCACAATAGTGCTTTATATTCTTAACTCACATAATTTATGAGATGTAAGGCTCTCCTTAGAATATTAGTATCCCTTTTCATCCATTCATTCACAAATGAATCTCTTATTCATTTTTCTTCATTATGTAAAATGATGACTATTTTAAACTGTTTTTCCACAATTTCAAAGTACTAGATACCAATTCTTTAGAAAAATATACCAAGTTCAGCTTTTCAATGCTGAAATAATATCCAGGCCAGTAAAATAACCTCAACATCTTAGCCTGTATTCCTCTAAATCGTTGTTTTATAATGATTGTTTCCAGGACTATCTGAATACACTGTTTGGGGGGCAATTCTTTGTAGGATTTCTACACATCTATTGACAGTTTTTGTTACACATAATATTTTCAAATAGCCCTGAAAGACAGATAGAATCTCCTTTGAGAGCAAATGAAAGACTAGTTTCCTGTGTTGGATAATAAAAATAATGCCTCCCTCTAGGCAAAGACTAGGTAGGATTACAAACACAGCCCTTATAAGACTGGGGATTCCTAAGTTTGGGGATCATCAGGTATAACACATATTTACTACAAGAGCAGCGTCTGCCTGGGCTGCTATGCATCACTCCCTGTGGGACCTGAGGGGGCAAAACAATCGCTGGAAACACTACCATGCAGTATGCTCTGCTGCGAGTAATAGGTTCCTTTGTCTCTGGCCCAGGAGTCTCATGTCTTCTGCCAGCATCTATGAAACTGTGACAAGCTAACTTGTCTTGAAAATAAGGTAAAACCTCAGACCCTTCACAGACCTGATATCAAGAGAATATGTAATGGTGAAGAAATAAATGGCTTTCCTAGGGTTGTCAGAATATGCACTGTTTCTAGCAGCAAACCTAATAATGTCAATTTTTCTAGGAATGACAAAATCATTTTTTCAGGCACATCTTACAACATGTTTTACAACAAAACCTTTCCTGATATCTTTTTCAATAAGTAGTATCTCTCCTTCCTTTGATCTTCTATTATATTCTTACTTGCTCTACATAGGAGTATAGCGGTTTGTATACTTAACTTTAGCTCTCTTATTAGACTATAAGTTACAGAGAGCAATGATTTATTTCTGTATCCCTACCAATGCACAATCCTTCCCTGGCACAATGCCTTAAATGTAATCACTGTTTATTCAATATCTATTGATTGACTTGTATTAATCAACACACCTTTATCACATTCTTTGTAAAGACAATCCACTAAAGGATTTTTACAGTAAAATCTGAGAGGTGAGTTTCATTGACATGAAAATGCTGTAACCAGTGTCAAAGGAATGAGACAGAGAACAATTTTCAGTGTCATCATGAAGAAAATCCTGTAGGATGCTAGCAATAATCTAGGCATTGAAAGACTGGTAGGATTTCTGAAGACAGAGAAAGGATCTTAACCAAATTCCTTTGGGTGGATGGAAAGAGGAGAAGCAGAGGACTAAATTATGGATATTCATCACTATAAAGTCCATCACGTGGAGTTCTCCAAAGGAATTATGTAATTACAGATTTACTCAAGTTTTGTTTTCGCTTTTGGTTTTGTTTTGGTTTGTTTGGCTTGTTTTTTCCACAAAATTTAAAGGCTCAAGACTGCATTCAAATGTTCACTCACATGAGAAAAAGATGACAGAGAAAGACCTTACTGAAAGTGAGGGGTTATTTGAAAGCCATCATGTACAAATATTCTTCCAACATAGCAAGGGAAATTATTTTTTTCATTTGTTTTGGCAGTCAGGACATCTTTTGGTTCTGCTCCAGAGTTTAGCATCAACAAAAAAACCATAAAATTAAGCCATTCATTCTCACAAAACATTTTTAAAAGCAGTTAAACAACAGGGTGTAATGCTATTTCCAAATTCTCTATACCAAGAAAGGTACAAAAAGCAAAGGTTAAATACACACCATTTAATCACAATAGTCCCACTGTATAATTTAATTGTTCCAATGCACATTAACAGGCAATTTACCATTCTTGCACATCTCAAAGGAGAAAAATAAAATAAAAATTAAATTACAAAGTAATTTTTTCTGGATTCCCTATTGAGTATCATAATTATACTTGGA